TATCCAATATTCCAATTCTTAAATTGCATATTATGCCATATTCCGAGCGCTTACGACGCATGAATGCTGTGATAGTACCATAAATAGTACTCAGTACTTGGTGTTAAACTCGGTTTATTTTCGTACATCCTTGCGTAAGCTTTTTGTATTATTGCCTTGCTATGTCATTTTACGTCACAATTTTGTCAATATTTTCCGCAATCAAAAATCGAGTTGAAATACGGTAATACGAAACTAATACATCCAAGGGACTGGGAACCAGTATGTAGAGAATAGTGAGCTACCTTGCTTCGCTCAGCAGCAAAAAGGCTTCCTATATGAATTATATATATATGAACCTATTAATCTATATTTTCCTAGGACAAAAAGTAGCCATAATATGGTGGCCTTAAAGGGGATTGCATACTGAATAATTTACAAACAAAACTTTATACACATATAGGAAATTTCTGCAATAGAAAATTTATGTTCAAGAAATAGAATATTTATTTAAACTTTCCAAACTGTCCCCCTGTGATCCTTCCACATTGCCACTTCTAGTTATTACTTAGTGATTCCCCCCCCAAAAAAAAATTCTAAATAACTGTAAACTTGGAAGAAAAGTGGAAAATTATTAAATAGTTCTTTATAATTCTTAATAATATTATATCTTTTTCAGATATTGAAGGGTACATCCACCACTTAAGTGCAGTAAAAACATCCAATTTAAATAAAAAAAAATCTTTCGATTTCAAACTGCAGACATCTGCAACCAAGATGGTAAGAGCTATGTGCTACTCTCCTGAAAAGAGAAAAAGTTTAGCAAATGCCTCACAGTTAAAATCACCAGTGAAAATTATGGGTGCAACCAAAAGAAAAAATTCCGAAGAGTACACTGTTAGAAAGACACCAAAGATAGCACCCACAGACTCCAAGAACATGGATTTTTCCTTCAATGAACTTTCCAACGTATAAGTCATGATGTCATGACAAACCTTATTCATGACGTTTATTCTGTTTATTCTAAATCAGACAGTTCTTTCATCATGGAGTAACTGGTACTGCACTCAGTAATGTCAACTTCATTAACCTCCTCCATTGCTTCCTCTTCATCATTTTGCTCAACAGTTTCTTTTCTTCTTCACTTGTGTCTTCGTCAACCAGTACTTTTGATTTCTTAACACGTTTTTGTGTCTTACACTTTTTTCTTTTAGTTTGCTGTGGTCGATGTGATCTGCCTGATGCCCAGAGTTGCATCGCTGCTGAGGGATCATACTCTTGAGAATTGGACCTTCAACATTGATTTGCACAAGGTTGGTTAGCGTGTTTTCATTCAGGGATGCGCATGAATCCGTCTTCACTCATTAAAAAAAAGCCTCTCGACTTTAGCGTTTTAAATCAGAATAGGAAAAAAAAGTTCTATAATGAGAAGGACCCTATTTCAATTAACGCTGCGAGGGGAGTTGAAGATGCGATGCCACACTCATAAGTAGTGCTTACCGGAGGGATTAAGGTACCGCTTCGCATAATCTACGAGGGAATGCCACTGCTCCAATATAGTAGATAAACCACAATTCATACCAGCTTTTAACAACGGTTCTCTGAAGTGGTTTGAAATATCTTCAAGAATCTCGTCTGTGAATGACTCATCTTCATTGCCATCAAGCAATTTGATCAACAGAGCTGACAGCAATGGGATTCTTGCTTGCTGCCATTTCTTTAGCCAGCCTTTAAATTTCTGACGATCTGCTGCTTTAAAGGCCTTGTCTTCACACATACTCTGGATATGCTGTACATATACTCCATATTTGTCAAGAAAGACCTGAAGAGCGTTGACCTTGTGGGATATCCAACGAGTACCTAACAAAAAAATAATGATAAAATACTGGCTGGGTGACTGGCTACGAGGCAGTTTAGTTTTGCCAAGGTTTACTCATAGAGTCAATTTTTTTAAAACAAAAATAAACATGTACAGCAAAAATAAAATAAAATAAGTAAAATTAATTTGACTAACCGGATGCTCTTTTGGGCCTCACTCCACCCTCTTCAAACTCGAATGTCTCGGAATATATTTTGTGAAGCTCTCGTAACTGCATGAGTTTCTTAGGAGAATTCTTATATAGATAATATAGACGAAGCAACACATCATCTACGTCGTCAAAGACAGTTCCTGTTAACACATCCTTAATTTAACAGCAAGCTCAACGCGATGTGCACACCAAACAAAAATAACCCATGGCATTCTATCTTTAAGAAAGTAGAAAACTCCTTTTTTGCCACTGTTTACTGCAGCACCATCAGCAGCAAAACCAATTAACTTTTTCTCAAAGATGTCGTTGGTGATAGCAATATTCCGAAAACTTTCCTTTATTGATTCAACTACTCCTTCAGCCTTACCAGACTTCAGGTCAGCCAAATTTAAAAACGACAAAACCACTTTCACTTTGTCACTTCCTGGTGGATTCTTGTTGTTGGACAAAAACAGCTTCTTTCTCAATTACAGAAGCATCCTCTGACGCATCAGATAACGCACTAAAAAAATTGGCTTTTGTTAGCTTTTCTTTGAGAATATCTCCTAAATCGTCACTAATGTATTTTATAAATTCATTGCAACTCATATCATTGCGATAAGAGCACAGTTTGCAGACATTGCAGTTCATACTTGTTTGTGACATAACCTGATTGGTAAGCGTTTATGACCAGCCACTCGCTCGCCATGTGTTTAGCTAGGTTCGTTCTCTTCTAACGATCAGCAGTAGAAACAGATAACTTTCGTCGTTTTGAGAAAGATGGTGCTGAAGACAATTTCTGGCTCAACACAGTCACAGCGGAAGGAACTGGATTTTCACTATTTATAAGTTGCGATTTTTTGACACAGGCATCTTTTTAAAGAACTCTGAAAGGGTTCTTTGACTTTGTTGATCTGAATCATATGATTTTCGAGTCTGCAGTCGATGACTTTTGTTTTATAAGACTACCTTGGGAGAAGAAATGACCCTTTTCTCGACCAAACCAGTTTACAAAACGTTCAGTTCGACAATCATAACTAGATCATTCTTCTCTATATTTCTCATCTCTTCTGTCCATTTATTTCTTTGTGTTAATAACGGCAGATATTCCTTGAGCCATCTATTCCAGAAAATATTGGCTAAGGCCTGTGCTTGCCGATACTTCTTTCTTGAATTTATCTCACGCTCTGTCACTACGTCAAAGAGAGAGTTAGTTAGTATTTGGTCTGTAGATTAGAATATGATTAGGGGTCAAGATCAAGTGGGTCTGAACTGGCTAGTGTAATCGGTCTTGAGTTGAGAATACCTTCAACATCTACCAATGCAGTGTGTAAGACATCTGAATCTGCACATCGATTTTGAGGAATAGCATGAAGGGTTCGTTTGCAAGATTTCACCAATCTCTCTACTGCTCCATTCATATGAGGGGAATTTGGAGGATGAAACTTTCAATCTGTACCATACATCGTAAGTTTTCGTTCTATTTGACTGTGTGCAAGCTGTTCCCATCCTTCACGCATTTCCCTTTTGGCTCCTACAAAGTTTGTTCCTCTATCTGATGTGATTGTTCTGGGATAGCCTCAGCGATTTGCGAAGCGGGTCAGGCAGTTCATGAATGCATCGGTATTGAGAGAGTCAGTGATTTCCAAATATACTGCTCGCATATTTGCACAACAAAATAGAACGCACCATCTCTTTAACTCACTTCTGCATTGCTTTATGTAGATTGGGCCGAATAGGTCAACAATTGTGTGTAAATGGGGGTAGGCATGGTGTCAGGCGTCTTGATGGAAGCTTTCCCATGCGGGGTGGCTTTGAATTTACTCTTTGTTTCTTGCAGTGAAGACAGTTATTCGCGTATTTCTTGATCTCCGATTTGCCATTTACTAACCAATAGCGTGTGCGGATAGAGCTTAGTATATAATCGGTCAGACCATGACTAAGGCGGTGATGATAGTCATTAATGATCAGGCGACCCACATCAGTTTTTCCATTGACTATTATTGGGTGACGAACGTCGTACAGTATTGGGGCAACTTGTATCCGACCTTCAACTCTGAGCAATCCGTCTCTTTCAACAATGAAGGGCGAGAGCTTAATAAGGCTTGAATTCTTTGGGATTGGTTTACCGTTAGTCAAGGCTTTTAATTCACTTGAGAAACTTTCCTTCTGTGCTTGTCGAAGTAATACCGTTTCTGCTCGATGCAGCACCTCGGTTGCAGAGCTTCTAATTGATCCCTCTTCTCTTGATTTCAATTTATCACGCGTCAGACTGATGAACTTCAAGACATTTGCTACCACTCTCTTTGCCTTTTCAAAGGTAAAGTATTGACTTAAGTTGAAAATGGCTGGTTTCGATTCTACCGCTGCTGTCGACCTTGCATGTACTTGCTTTCGGAGCTCCTGTTCCTCATCGATTTTCTCCCCCTTGTCGAGACGTCTGGGCCACGTATCTTGAGCCTGGTAGAGGAATTCAGGACTGCGTTTCCATGTACTTTCAGACGTCATTCCCGTTAGTGTAAGCCCTCTTGTACCTGCGTCAGCGACGTTGCCTTAGGTCAGAACATACTTCACTTGCACTGTTCTGTTACCAGTGTCTTCTAATGTCTTGAGATCTTCTACAATATCAACGATCGTATGAGCAACATAATCACGATACTTATTACTGGGTTGATGAATCAAGTGTAACACAACCATTGAATCAATCCAAAATGTTATCATATCTATACGACAATCCAGTTCTTTGACTAAGGCCAGTGCTAGTTTGACTGCCATGCAGGCTGTGTCCAATTCCAATCGTGGTATGGTCATCCTTTTCTTGGGAGCTGCAAGAGAATAATGTATCTTTTCATCTGGATAAGAAAAGCGTAGATAACTCGCTGCGCATTTTACTCATTTGGAACTATCCGAAAACACAAGCATTTGCACTTCTGAGGGTTCATCATTAGAGGATTTAAAGCATCTTGGAATGGTGACATCTTCCACAACATCAATTTCATTTTCCCACTTTCTCTATTCTCTGAGCTGGTCTTCAGGAACTTCTTTATCCCATCCTAACTCTTCCAAACAGAGTTGCTGTTGTAACATTCGTCCTCGAATAGTATACAGACTTAGCCATCCATGTGGGTCCCAGATTGATGCAATACGGCTTAGAAGTTCCCTTGGTGTTTTGGCATGGCTTGGTGTTTTCTTTGGTGCTGATAGATGCAGAGTGTCTGTGTGTGCATTAAAGCGCACTCCAAGGGCTTGCGAGACGGGTAATTCACGAAGTCCAACTTCATTGGTTTGAACTTTATCAGCTTCTGGTATATCTCTCATCACAGCTTGGATATTGCTCCACCACTTTGTGAGTGCAAAACCGCCATGTTTCATAAGCTCGGTCAGTCTTAGAGTTACAGCTTTCTCTTCATCATCTAGTGAATTCAGTGAATTGTCGACGTACATATTCTTTCTTACGGCTTCAGCGGTTGCTGGATACTGTTGCTGATAGTTGTCTGCATTTTGTTTCATTATGTAGTTGGCGCAGGTTGGTGCCGATCGTTCTCCAAAGGGTCTTCTTAGACACTGATACACATTTGGCTCTTCTTTCGAATCTCTGTACAGGAATCGTAATGCTGGTAGGTCTTCTTCTACTACTCGCATTTGCAGGAACATGTCCTTGATGTCTGAGCATAATGCAGTGCGTCCTTGTCTGAACCAAAGAAGTATGCCAAACGGGGGGTTCAATAGATCTGGACCAGTGTATATAAAGTCGTTTAGGGACTTTCCCATTGTACTTCGCAGCTACATTATACACTCGTCGTACCTTTCCTGGTTTCTTTGGGTTTCTTACTGGATGATGGGTCAGGTAGTTTACTCTGTCACTTGCTGTTTCTTGAACTTCTTGCTTACTCAATTTCTTTATGTATCCTTTTTCTACATCATTGATAATAGATTTTCGATACGCTTCCTTTAATTCGGGATCACATTCTAAGCGATGTTCAAGGGCATGTAGCTGAGCTTCGGCTGCTTTGTGATTATTTGGTAATACAACGTTTGGATCTCTCCACAGAATTCCAGACTCAAAGGCATCACCCGATGGCAACCTTTTTGTAGTAGAGTGTAAGACATCTAATGCTTTCACGTCTTCGCTTGAACGGATTTCAGCCCTTTTCTTTGGTGTTGGAACAGTTTCCATGTTGCTCCATTGTTCAAGTTCCCACTGAAAGTCCCTGTTAGATCCAGCTTTAGTTGAATGCTCAGCTTCTATTCTACGGACATATACATCTGCACCGTCATCTGATGAAAGTGTTGCAAAAGCTATCCAACCAAGACGTGTTCGGATAGCAACTGGAGTGCCACGAGGCCTTCGCGGGTTTCCAGCGGAGCTTGAAGGAAATAAGAATCCACTCTGATCACCAGTTGAACGTCAGCTGCATTAACACTTTGGAGGTCAAGGTCTTTCAAATGATCAAACCTCGTTTCCGCCGCCCAGTCAACTGTGTATGAACAATAGTTCATTTCTAGAACTGTGAGTACTAGAACATTTCTAGAACTGTGAGTACTTTGTCTATAGTGTATTTGCTTCTACGTCTTCCGGTACCGGATATCGTCAGGTTTTGTATCAGGAAAGATTCAACCGTTTCATCTGTGTTTGTTCCACTGCCCAGTAAAACCTAGCTGGTGAGCGAGGTCCTGGTATATAAGTGTGGCATTCGAACCACTGTCCAACATTGCTGTGATCCTTCTCTTTCCCTTCGGCCCATAGAACATAACAGGTATAATCTGATGTACTATGCTTTGTTGACCAGCTGCTACTCTTTGAGTACCTACTTCCACTGCAAAACTGCTTGTTTTTCTAGCCAAGACATAAAGTTCTCCAGTGTAAACCGCTTCGAGTCTTCTCCCTTGTATCTTCCCATGCCAGCCTCAAGGATGGTGGCAATTTTCTTACAGCTTCTCTCACATGATAACTTGATTTTAACTCTGTTTCCTTTTCCAGCGACTCGAACACAGATGCCAGACTTGTAATTGTTTCTGATAGTGATCTCAACTGTTCGACGTTCTTTTCACTAACAGATGTAAACTTTCTTAGCTTGTTATCATAGGCTTGCATTATTTGGGTGGATTCGCCAAACCTTACTCCGGGAATATCCCAAGCCTTATTGTACTTTCCACTGCCTGGAAGTATGCCACGGAGGGCCGTCTCCACCTTCCCTGTTGTATGTGTTAATAACAGGTCCAAAAGTTCATCCTGGGTGTAATGCTTTTCCTGCTCTAATTTCTTGAATGTTGTCCTAAATGCTGTATATTTGATTGGGTTTCCATCGAACTTTTTTATGTGTGGATCCCTTTTCTTTTCTGTTACGAGACTGCATTTGGACCTTTCAAGAAAAACAAAGTTTAACAATAGATTGCCGTTTTAGATTTAAAGAAGTAAATGTCCAGCAAGTGTGTAAGCAGCTCAAATCACTAAAGTGAAAGAAATCTATTGGCCTGGATAATATACCGGGATATCTGTTGAAAGACTGTGCTAATATTATTGCGTTACCATTGACTCAGATCACAAATAGTTCTTTGAGCACAGGTATTTTTCCCACTGACTAGAAATGTTCTAAACTCGTACTGATACCTAAAACAAGGCCGTATGACAGCATTAAAAACTACCGTTCGATCTCAGTGATTCCAACCATATCCAAAGTAATTGAAAAACTGGTTCATAATCAGCTATCTGCATATCTATTCTGCACGATAGTCAATTTGGCTTTCGTAAAGGACGATCTACTGAGTTAGCCGCAACGTTTTTTACTGGTAATATTAAGAGAAAGGTTGACGAAGGTAAACTAGTTGGCGCCGTGTTTATAGATCTTACTAAAGCGTTTGATACCCTCAACCATGGAACCCTTTTGAATAAGCTTGAGAAGTTATGGCATATTCGACGAAGAATATCAGTGGTTTCAGGATTATCTTTTTAATTGATCCCAGCAAGTACAATATAAAAACTGCTTATCGACAGCTGAAAGGGTTATGTCTGGTGTGCCTCAGGGGTCCATTCTTGGCCCTCTCCTTTTTGTTGTCTTTTTTAATGATTTTTCAACATGTCTTAAACACTCTAATGTTATCATCTATGCAGATGACACCGTGATTTACGTTGCCGGAAAAGACACTTTTATTATTGAAACCCATCTTCCATCTGACATGAAATCAATTGCGGATTGGTGTACGAAGAATGAGCTTATCCTAAATACAAACCCAGGTAAAACGGAAACAATGCTGTTTGGGACTGCCAAGAATCTGTCACAATATCCAACATCATTAAATGTAATGTACAGAAATCAGGTGATTAATTCTACGACAACATATAAATACCTGGGTGTTGATAAATATCTTGATCACTCATTAAATATGAATTCTAACTTTGATTCTATTTACAAAAAAGCATGCGGGAGACTGAGATTACTAAGAAAGATACGACCTTTTTTTAACTACTACAGCAACAAAGGCAATATATCAAGGTATGGCTCTACTGATACTAACGTACTGTGGTCTAATGCATTTGAAAGTAAGCAAGACTCAAGAAGAAAAACTTTTGGAATTCCATAAACATGCACTGGAGATTATTACATTAAAACCTAACAATAACCTGGAGATCAAACCGCCATCTGTCACAAATCAAAGAATATGTCAGGTAGTTCGACAATGTATAAATGGAAACATTTGCTCAAATTTTGTGAACTATTTTGAGATACAAACGCATAACAAGGCGACCAGAAATCAGGGATATCAGCTAAAAGTGCCAAAGATTAGATTGGAGTACGCTAGAGGATCACTCTACTTCATGGGAGCCAAGCTGTACAATAGCTTGCCTCTGAATATTCGTAAAACTGAATGTTATAACTCATTTGATAAACTCTTGAATGAACACTTTCAATGAGTAATACTTTTTAAACTTTTTGACTTGTATATAGCGTAAAAACTTGTCTTCTTTAAAGATTTTTAATCTTAGGTATATACAGTATGTAATTCTTTAACTATATTTTATCATCCTATATTTACAGGACCCACATTGATAACAGTTCTTAATCGAACTGAAGTGATTTTATCCTGTATAAATATTCGACTAAAGGCTAGTTTCCACTCAGAAAAATTCTCCTTTAGATCGGACAGGACAGAAAAATTTCCTTTGTCGGTGAGTTCTCAGATGGCGTTTATACAAAAGGAAACTTTTCTGTCCTGTCCGATCCAAAGGAGAATTTTCCTGAGTGGAAACTAGCCCTAATAATAATAATAATAAAAAAAAGATTGCTTCAGCAAACTTGACAAGGCTGTCATCATTCGTTGCGGTATTTTCCTTGGGTCTCAGCGCTGAAGCTGTTTCAACATTGTCTGTTTGTGCAGGAGCAACTGGAGGTTTTGGTTGAGAAGTTTTCTTACTTCTTTTATCATCCTGACTTGTTTGGTCCTCTATCTGTTCTTCTATGTTTAACACCATCTGGGCTGTGACATGCTTTGTACGTGCATCTTCAACTTCTAACTGAGCTTCAGTTTGCATCATCAATTCTCTTTCTTCCCGCTCAATTAATTGTTTCCGTTGTTCTTGCTCATGTCGTAGACGTAACTTTTCTTCCTCCAATCTATTCCTTTCCCTTTCTCTGCAATTCTATCTCCTTCTTTCGCTGCAAACTTTCCAATTCCAACTTTGTTTGTTCAGCTGATTTCTTTGCCTCAACTCGCGAGCTTGTAGTGGAAAGGATGCTGGTTAATTTCGACTTCTGAGATGCTGCTTCCGATGATGGTTCATATCTACGTTCCATCAAATGTTCATGAGCTTTTTTTACTTGATTAAATACTTCAGCCTCGATTTTCTTAAACCACTCTGCCTCTAACATGCTTTCCTTTTCATTCAGTTGCAAGATCAAGTCATTGTTTATTTTACTTATCTCATCAAGTGTTCCTTCTGTTGATGTCATCAAGTACCGCATCAATGTACTACTTCCCTTTTCCATGATAAGTTCTCTTAGTTTTTCTAGTTGAGTACGAATCTCCTCTGCTTGCTTCCGTCAAAACCATCGTAGTTTTCTTAGGGTAGGTTCCACCCTTTCTTCGACTGGTACGTCAGCCATAATGATAAAATTTCCTCCAATATCTTATATTCATACTACATGAAGTTCATGTGATGACTAGTCGATCGATAAAGTGCATTGTCCAATATGGTGTTTTATATCGCCAATTTTTTTATGTAAATTACTTCAAATTCCTACTGAAAGTCTGTCGGGCGCCAAGGATCCGGCTCGAAGGACCAAAAGGTTGTTCTTGCAAACTCTAGCGCCCTCGATAGCTCGGCTTCTACGCGTTTAAAGGGTCGATACAATGTTTACTCAATTTAATATTTGTTCGATTATCTACAAAATATATACATAAAATGCAAAATACAAACATGCTCAACTAATAATAATAATAATAATAATAATAATAACTAATAATGTTTAATGACATTTACCCTTTCTGCATTCGTCTGAATAGAAGACAATTCCAACAATATCAATACACTACAATTCTACAATTAGCAAAGCATGGAAAACGTTGTCGTATCGTTTTAGGTTCTGCTGTTGTCTTGTTCAGCGGTTTACTTATTATTAGACTATTAACTTATTAACTTAACACATGCAGTAAGTAAAATTAAATAAATAAATTACCAAAACTAAATGTGAAGCAACAACTTTGGGATTGACATCATGCAACAATATTACAGGATAAAAATATAATATACACTCCTAATTGTAGTTACCTTTTAAATCGTTAATTGCTTGCCCTCTTTATAAATCGTTAATTGCTTGCCCTCAAGTATAGATTTGTTTGTCTTGATCTCTTCATACTTTTTATTGGCATAATCTACTTGACTTTGGATATTTTGTAGAGATGCGTTTGCTTCAACCAAAATATCCTGTTTGTTCTTAACCTGACAAGACCATTCCCCAATGGGAAACCTCTTCCACTTTCTAGTGGGATCGGTCATTCTTGTCTCTGTTAAAATTTTTTATTATTAATCTCCCTTGTACAAAACATGCAGGAAACACACATCGTGTGTCAGTCAACAATCGTATCATTTTAGTTTTCCTCAAAGACCTAGAATATGATGAGTATATTGACTTCAAAAATGGTATTATCAAGGTCATAAACTGAGTTTGTTATTGTTTCATCAATTCTGTTATAGTTTCATAAAATTTGAACAAAAGTTGAAGTGCACATGACATGATTAATGGCCAGAAATTCGCGACATTCAGCGGTCTGGCGCACGGTTTCATAAACTCAGCAGTTTTGTTTGTTGGCTCGGAGATTTTGAGATACGTCATGTCTTCCTAATTAATATTCATAAAGATGGCGGGTGGCTTGCGCGAATATGCAAATAACGAGGGATTTTATGTTCAAATGCACAATGCATCTTCGGGAAGTTTACTTTGGGGAGGCAATAAATCTCTCAAATCAAGGAAAAGGAAGGCTTTTCGTGAGTTTTATCCAGT